TCTGCACTAATGTCGTCGCAGCGTCGCAGTACACTGCGCAGAGTGCCATGCCCGGGCTTGTCATGCATTCTGCTTGCGAGTAAAGTCTCCGATGATAAAGTACAGCTGATGCGGCTGTGCCTAACAAACTGTTGCCGTCCTCCAGCTTCCGAGCACGCTGGGGTTCCGTCACAGCCCAATCCGGACAGTTCATGTGTTCTGCGGCAGTAAGGTCATGTAACTTGTTAGTTCGTGGCGCTTCTACAAGAACGAGTCTGGACACCTTCATTCTGCTGTATCCATCGACAATCAACGAATCCACTGATGTTCCATGCACCTGACGGTGCCGCCCTACACATAACATAAGATGCATCAAATAGTAGCCATTCAGTCTGGAGACTAAGGCTCAGAAGTACTCTGCGCGGCGTTCTCGGCCTGCGAACGGACCCGGACTCACGTTCGCGCGCGATATCGGGAGAAGCTGAGGGTGGTGTAATCTTCTTCATCCAGACCATATGGGCTAAATGCCGACAGCGAGACTAGTCCCGAGTATAGTTGCCTGTAGTTGCGAGTCAGTCAGTACGAGGCAGCCGATCGGTGCACCGCCGGTACGAGTGTCGGGAGATGGACAAATTGCCTCAAAAGGTTGCTACGCCGCAGACGTAGGTGCTGTGCGATACTTGTCTACCAAGGCCAAAATCTTGCGACCATAAGTAGGATACGGCATGCTAGTCTGCGCCTCTCACGCATTCGAAAGCAGGATAGGAGGAGAACCGGGAGGTACGGAAAGGTTGTGCATCCGCGGGATGCCATCCGAACTTCTGGAGGCAAGCTCCGTGCGAGCTGCAGAGCGGCTTCTTTAGAAAGCGGGAGACGACAATTGGGTGAGGAAACCAAACGTTTGTGCTGCCAGCGCAGAGGGACGACCACTGCTGAGATGTCAAGTAGTCAGATTTTGAGTGCCTTGGAGCATCAGCGCATCATAACTGCACGCTCGAAGTCATTTCCCAATGCGCTCGGAATGACGGGCTTGCCGCTATCTACCGCCTTTGCCAGTAGCCCTGCGGCTATGCGGTGCGGTGCCGCGGTGTATCGCGCGTATGAAAGCAGGCAGGATCCTGAATAGCCGGGGACCGATCAACGCACTCAGCGACGATCGCAACTTGCAAATCTGGGGAAGTCAACCTGGCCGCTCATCGGCACACGCCGGGTGATATGGAGATTATGAGTGATCTTTGAATGGAATATATCAACACCGACCCCAAAAAGATGCGGAGCAGGGAGTATAAAGCCAGGCAACCGTCGAGACGTGGTTCAGCAGGGCCCTTCTCGCTCTGCCGTTTCCTTCATCCGGTGGTACCGCAATGCTTCCAGCTATCGCACTCGTCGCTACCGCCTTCACGATCTTACCATCTCCTGTGTACGGCGCGGAGTGCATCACACCCAGCGTGCGCAGGGAATGGCGGCAGTTCAGTACCGAAGAGAAAACTGAGTGGATTGCGGCGGTCAACGTTCGTAGTGCGCTCCAAACCATGGCATACATTTCTGACATCGTTACAAGTGTCTCTCTAAGTTGCCTCATGACCCCGCTCTCACCGCGACAGTACCCGTGTCACAGTCGGAGATCCAGGGCATCAACGCATCTGGCTCGTACTATGATGACTTCGTCTACATGCATATGGACCTGAACACCCGTGTAAGTCTTAGTTGAAGCAAAGTTTCGCCCTTGAGACTCACCCTGAGTTTGATAGATCCATAGTACGGGTTTGTTCTTCCCGTTTCATCGCTGGTATGTCGCGGTGTACGAGACGGCGCTTAGCGAAAAGTGTGGTTACACCGGCGCCTCGCCCTACTGGAACTGGTCAATTGGTTCGTTCCGAAAACCTTCCCCATATGATCACGGCTGATCGTCAGCTGCCAGACGCCACTACTTTCTTCGAGTCGACCTTCTGGGAAGATAGCAACTCCGCAAGCGGCCTGGGCGGCTGGGGTGACGCGAAGAAGGACTACGAGGTTCAGGATGGCGGCTTCTCAACATTCACCTTATCATACCCGTCGTCCCATATTCTTCGTCGTAACTTCACCGAGCGTCCGTACGAGAATCTTGACGACAGTAGCGGCTTGTTCCCCATCCCGGATCTTGAAGCGAACTCGACCTTCACCGTCGATAAGATTGCCGCCGGGATCAACGGGTACGTCGGCGACTTCCCTCACTTCCAGCAGTGGATGGAATCCGGCGAGGGCCCGCACGGTTCAGTGCACCTGATCATGGGCGGGTAAGTCATTCAAAATAGAATGCCTGCCACAAATGACTGACCATGCTGGTAGTGATCTCGGTGGCACATGCCCAGTAAACGCTCCTTCAAACTGTACTGGTGGCCCGACTTGGTCGGCGAACGAACCGTTGTTCTGGATGCACCACGCCGTGAGTAACTCGGCCACAACAGGTTTCGATGAAACTCCAGCTGACCGACTCTATTCCAGATGGTTGACAAAGTTTGGTACGATTGGCAGCATGCTAACGAATCTAACTTCTGGGCGTACTCGGGTGGTGCCACGCAATCCAATACCAACGCATCGTACTACGATGAGTACCCTAACGGTGCTGCACCTGCCCTCTCGGTAAGTTATATTTCTTTCAGTTGCGTCGAATCTGATACATACCGTGCGTGTAGCTTGACTCTGTCATGCCCGCGGATGGGCTATTCGCCGAGTCGACCGTCCGTGATGTCGTGAACACGACTGGCGGGTTCCTCTGTTACGTCTATGAATGAGCCTCGCGTTACTTTTCCTTGGATGATATCGGATCGGATGACGAACTTCATATTTAAGTCACTCCTTAATACCCTCGCTCTCTCATCAATGCGCCAATTATATATCCGTTCTTGATACCCGCTAGTGGTGACGGAACTTCTCCAACGGGTAGAGAACAAGTCCAAGAGCTTGGGTTATGGCGAGCTCGTCATCTGAGCAACTCGGGTAGCCAACGATGATACTCCGCTTTTGGTCACTTGATTCAAGGATATGGTCCAAAGAGCGTCGATAGAGCACTAAATGGTTCGGCCCTGTGGGACCAGATCATGATGACTCGGCGCGATGCCCTTCAAGCTATTCCTTGAGAGCCCACATCCAAAGGCACACGTGCTACGGAGAGTATAACGTGTTCGTCGAGACGAATGACAAGGTCATGACTAGTGACTGCTCAGCAGTCATGATGCATGATGATGGTTAGGGTGAAGCAGGCCTCGCCGCGCGGCTGTAGTCGGAGCGCTCTTCGGCCGGATCGGCCCGAACGTGCGGCAGCAACAGCCGCGGATTGCAGGTCTTCTCCTGCTCTCATCAGCATCTGGAAGTACGACTCAGACTCGAATCACATCGTCCTCATGTCAGATTTCTCCCATATCTCAAAGTACCTGTGGTACAGATGTCAACATGCGTCTGCCGAATAGATGCGATGCTCCCCCTCAACCGAACAGCCTTAGATCTTCCCTCGCCTGTCGCCGCATGGTCGTGTGAGCCGAAGTAAGGTATTAGCGTTTGCTGACTTAGGTTCTAGGACAGACTCAATTCGCAGGCGGCATTTAGCGTCTTCCTTCTAAGCCTACTGCAAGCCCAATGCCCAAACTTTTCGTATTCCTTACATCCATCTCATTCTCCGCCGTGAATCTGAGACTCAGTCGGTGAGGTGTGCAGCTCACCCCAGTTGGCTTCGGTGGATGGCGCGCCACACCTGGGCTTGCCTGTGAGAGTATAGCGTGGCCTACTTTCTTGACATAACTTCAATGTGCGGCCACACAAAGAACTTCGGTTTTACCTGTCCGAGCATCTCGTGAGACGCGCGTCCTTGCGATGCGAGCTTCGCGCGAGTACGGTCATTCAGTGACGTTTGGCGGGTGCTTAGGAGATCACGGCGATAATACCGGGACTAGATGCAGGAGGAATTCTCGTATTCAGCGAAGTTGCGCGTTTGGCGCGCGTGGGTAGGTGCACAGCGTGTCTCAGCGGTTTGCCGTGCTTCGAGTCTCTAGTGGAGACCAAGGCAGGTTAGCGCATCCTATTATGCTTTCAAGAACTCGTCGGCTCTGCGATGATACCGGTGAACCGGTATCCGATCAACGCGCTTGGCGGCATTCTCGATTCATCTCGGGTTAGTGCGCCAGACGAGAACGCCACAATGGGGCCGTCCATCGTCCTACGACCAGCTCAGAGAGGATTTTGACGGTCTCTTGACAAGGCAAAATCTCGGCATGAGACAGAAGAAGAGCACAAATGTACTATAAAACTGGCGGGCTCTTGACCCTCAATCCCCAGCAGCGACCTGTAACGTTAGTCGCGCCTGTTCTCCCCTCCAAACAATGTTTGCCACAACCGCCTTCTCTCTCGCCCTGGTCGCAGCTCTCTCTTTACCCACTCGCGCCGCCAAGTGTATATCACCCAGCGTGCGCCGCGAGTGGCGTCAGTTCAGCAAGGATGAGAGAGCCGACTGGATATCAGCAGTCAATGTGCGTACATATGTTATTGATCTCTCTCACAGATGCTTCACTGACCTTCCCTCGTCAGTGCTTGTCGCATCTGCCTCACAATCCAAACTTGACCGCGACAGTTCCGCCAGAGCTCTCCCTCATTCCGGGGATCAATGCGTCGGGATCTTACTACGACGACTTCGTGTACATTCACATGGACCTCAATACACGCGTGAGCTTCGCAGATTCCCTGACCATCACTGAGTACAACCTCAACGATTACCTATTAGATCCACAACACTGGTCTTTTCTTCCCCTTCCATCGCTGGTATGTCGCGGTATACGAAACAGCGCTCGTCGAAAAGTGTGGATACACCGGTGCTGCCCCATATTGGAACTGGTCCATCGGTATGTATGCTCTAGACTTGTTCATAGTTCAGTGCTGACTACCTGTAAACAGACGCGAGAGACTTCATCGACTCTGACTTCTTGAAAGATAGCGATCCAGCAAGCGGCCTTGGCGGGTGGGGTGACCCGGCGAAGGACTACCAAGTGCAGGACGGCGGCTTCTCCTCTTTGTCTGTCTCGTACCCCTCTCAGCACATCATCCGTCGGAACTTCACAGAGTACCCGTACGCCGCCATCGACGAGCTCTTTGGAGGGACCGGCGGTGGACTCTTCCCCGATCCGGACACCCCAGCCAACTCCACCTTCACTATTGAGAAGGTCGCTGCAGCTGTGAACGGTTATGTTGGTGACTTCGCTCACTTCCAGCAATGGATGGAGCGCGGCGAGGGCCCTCATGCAGCTGTCCATTTCATCCTCGGCGGGTAAGGGGTCTCCTCACTTTGTACTGCCTGCGTGCTTTGTTGACAGTACATCGTGCAGTGACCTCGCTGGAGGATGCCCGGCCAACGCGCCTGCTAACTGCACACCTGGACCGACTTGGTCTGCAGATGAACCACTGTTCTGGATGCATCATGCTGTGAGCAGTTTTTGCCGACATGAAAGCTGTCTCGCGCTAATCTATCACTCACCAGATGGTCGATAAAGTCTGGTATGACTGGCAGCACGCCAATGCGGCGAACTTCTGGGCGTACGAGGGAGGGGCGACTCAATCCTTCACCAACGTGTCGTTCTACAACAAATGGCCTGCTGGAGCACCGCCCATGCTCTCGGTGCGTATTGTCTACCCTCAACAGGGATGAATTCTGATTATAGGTTGCAGTTGGACTCCGTCATGCCAGCAGACGGTATGTTTGCCGAAGCGACGGTGGGTGACATGATGAACACGACGGGTGGTGCACTGTGTTACGTCTACGAGTGATGGTAAATACAATAGGCCTGGACTGGTACAGCTGCATTTTTGTATGGTGTGGTCATTAGGAGAGGGTGCGCAGAAAGAGATACGGTCCGGAAAAGCTGAAAGCCATAGGCACGGCCATGTACTGCCTGACGGTGTTTGACCTCAAGCCTGGTGTGCAAGCCGCAGGGGATGTGCGCGATCTCAGAGTTAACATCCTATGCTAGTATAGCTGTCCGCCCCGCCGCGAAACCAGGGCTTGACTTGGTCCTGCGGTCCGTCGTGATGATAGCGAGAGGCAAGTTGAAGGGCGCTGTGCCTGGGAACGGTGTGGTCGGACCGGCCGGTTTGACCGGTTTGAGTTCGCGGCGACGTCCGCGTACTGTTCTCCTCTCACTCCCATCTCTCCAGAAATATTGACTAATTCGAACGCACACGCTTTCTCTGCTCGGCTTAGCCCTTGATCATGGAGGATCTCGCAGGTCGTATTACAACCAACGACCAAAAATCCGGTACGCGTGCACGTGGCACTGTAAGCAAACTGTAAGAGCCTTGCACCATGTTCATGCCTTTCGAGGCTATGACACCGGTAGAGGCACAATTGTACACAACCATTCAATAACTATACCGTTCCCGCACACACAAGACGTCAATCTCGAGAGCGATGACGGGTTTCGCACTTTCACTGGCACGCTCATGGTAGGGCTGATCGCGGACCAGGCCTATGTTTCCCGTCCGCTCTCAGATGCGTTCGCATTATCGGTGTTGAACCCGACGTAGACGCCACACACATGTCTGTATTCGCTCCCAACTGCTTGGTTCATGAGCGCATCGAGAGGCCATGCGCCTCGAACCGCAAGCGGCAATGTGCCGAATCCATGAGCGTCACCGTTGTCTCGCTTTGCACTTTGTCAATGAGATGCGTTTTCTTTTCGTGCCGTCGACAGTTCGGCGGCGACGCCACGATATGAGTGCTACTATGTCATGGCGAACGTCCTCAGATAATACATACGTTCCTTTGGAGGACTGCCTGTGGGCGTCGGCCAGAGTTCATCCACATGTACTGTCCTGTACTGTACTAAGCCAGTCTTTGATATACATAGTGGGCCTTGACATCAACAATGCTGACTACTGGTACTATGTCATCGACACGTTCTCACTGGTTCCGGTCGTGAAGCGACGGGTTCGGAGGCGGCCGAATAAATGTCGTAGCGGGCGGCGTGCCTGTTTGTGGCTCCGATGGCCGAAGGGCGAGATATGCATTTTGTACGTTGAGCCGCATCCAGACAGGCTTAGCAACGCGGTGTAGTTGCACACCTGAGCAGCTGTATCTGCCAGCTGACCCGTCTAAGACCGCAGATGAGAAATCGAAGGGGAGTCTGGGTAGATGCGAGGACGGCGCGAGCGGCGGGACGGGCCAGAGATGAAGTCGCGGCAGCCGGATCAGGGGAAGATGAACCCGGCCAGCCAATGCTCGCGAGCTGCCGCGGGTTTGGTGCTTCTGTGCATGAACATTGTCCCCATGGCTCATTCAACGCCTCACCGATGCCGATAGCACACAAAACCCCCACATCCCGAATTTCCAGATTTATACCCCACACTCTTGTTCGCAGCCTTCTCCACACACGACCATGTTGTCGCTCCGAGCATCCTGCCTAAGGCCGACTTCGCGCCTCGCCCGCGTCATCCGTGCACACCCTTCTGCGCTCGCACGCGCCTACAGCGTCGTTACTGACGCACCGGCTCCCAAAAATAAGAAGATCTGGGACTCTGCCGACGAGGCCATCCGCGATGTCAAGTCCGGAGACATCATCCTGTCTGGAGGTTCGTACAGTACGGTGTACAGGGGAACGTGTGTGCTGATAACGCCCTTTACCAGGCTTCGGATTATGTGGCATCCCGGAAACACTCATCGAGGCCCTCGCAAAGAGGTCTGACGTGCAGGACTTGACAGCCGTGTCAAACAATGCCGGCGCTGGGGACTTCGGTCTGGGTATGTACCGTCGATAGATGGTCGAAGCTTGCTTTACTGACGCCCTCGCAGCCCGCTTGCTGAAGACCGGCCAGATGCAGAAACTCATGATCTCTTATCTCGGCGGGTAAGTATGACTACAAGTCCCCTCTACGTTTGTATCTGACCCGGTGTGCTACAGTAACAAGTACTTTGAGAAGCAGTACTTGGAAGGTCAGGTCGGCCTTGAGCTCGTTCCGCAAGGGACCCTCGTTGAGCGCATGCGCGCCCACGCCGTCGGCATGCCCGCCGTCTACACACCCACAGGCGCACACACGGCCGTCGAGACTGGCGAGATTCCCATCCGGTACAAGCCCGGAGGTATCAAAGAGGGTGTCCTCATTCCTGGCAACAAGAAGATCGCGAAGGAGTTCAACGGCAAGCGCTATCTCGAGGAGCCTGCCATCGCCGGCGACGTCGCATTCGTGCACGCCTGGAAGGCGGACGAAGTCGGCAACCTCGTCTTCAAGTTCGTAGTTCAACTTGTCCGCGACGCGCGCGTGATCACTGATCTGCTTTGCGCCACACAGGCACACCGCTAACAACTTCAACGCGATCATGGCCCGCAACGCAAAGTTAACCATCGTCGAGGCGGACGAGATCGTTCCCGTTGGCTCGCTTGACCCGAACGAGATCCACGTACCGGGCATCTACGTCGACAGGATCATCAAGGCAACGGCCGAGAAGCAGATCGAGGTTCTCCAATTGGCGCCCGAGCCAGGAGAGGCGGCTGCTGGCCAGGATGTCCCGCCTACCGACGTTCGTCGCGTGATCGCCCGCCGCGCCGCACAGGAAGTCAAGGACGGCTGGTACCTCAACCTCGGTGTTGGTCTCCCGACCCTTATTCCGGAGTACCTCCCGGAGGGCGTCAACGTCTGGCTGGAGAGTGAGAACGGTATCCTCGGCATGGGTCCCTACCCGACACGCGACCAGGTCGACCCCGACATCATCAACGCTGGCAAGGAGACGACGACATTGCTGCCTGGCGCTGCCACCTTCGACTCGGCAGAGAGCTTCGGTATGATTCGCGGCGGTCATCTCGACCTTAGCGTTCTCGGCGCGATGCAGGTCTCTGCTGCGGGCGATATCGCGAACTACATGATCCCCGGAAAGCTCGTTAAGGGTATTGGCGGTGCGATGGACCTCGTGTCTAATCCGGAGAAGACGAGGATTATGGTCGTTATGCAGCACTGCGCCAAGGACGGCAGCCCGAAGATCATGCAGGAGTGCACGCTCCCGTTGACGGGTGCGCGGGCGGTCAGCACCATCGTTACGGAGCTCGCGGTGTTCAAGGTCGACCGTGAGGCCGGCGAGCTCGAGTTGCTCGAGGTTGCGCCGGGCAAGACTGTCGAGTACGTGCGCGAGCGCACGCACGCGCAGTTTAGGGTGTCGCCGAACTTGAAGGAGATGTAATTTATCTATACGGACTGTCACTACCCATATCTACGCATTACATAGGTCTTGTATCATAGTCAGTTGATTTATCCTTTCTCGATGAGTGTATGTGCCCATACGCGCCCTGATGACGCCCGAGGAGCGTCTGAGCCAATAAGGTCCACAAGGACCCATAACAGTGATGATCCTGGTTACGGGGCGATAAACATGAGACTAGACCGCGGCGCGTCTGTTTCCGCACGCCACGAGCTCAGAACAGGCCTTCATTGTTGTCTTCGACTATCACCTTGCAGCTAGTGTCGACTCTGATCTTTATGCTGCAATGAGCTGGCTGGCATCGCTGTTTGGAGGCAATAAACGTGCCGCAGGGAGGTCGAACGCCTTGTCGTCGACTCGAGACGCGTTCTCGATGCCGTCGCCGGTGTTGTCGCCGCAGCAGGACGCGTACGAGCCAGAGTCGTCGACGAGCTACACCTACCCGCCGCAGCAGAATGGCCAGGCTTACGGCTACGTTCCCGCGGCGTGTGTTTATTCCAAAGTATATAATATACGATTGGACTGATGGATGAACAGACGACGGGGCTCATCGCTTCTCCCGACACACAACGCCTCGGCAAATGGCGGCTACCCACCGCTGGCAGCGACCTGGAACAGACTCAAGACCTGGCTCGCGAATGAATATCCCGAACTGGGCGACACTTTGAATTACGCCATTCTGCCCCAAGACCTCCAAGAACTCGAGGCACACTTTGGATTCGCACTTCCGCCCGCCGTACGGGAGAGCTACCTCGTCGTCGACGGCCAAGAGCCGGAATCATCCGCCGCATGCTCGGAGGGTTTATTCTTTGGCTTGCATCTTCTTCCGCTTGAGGAGGTCTATGACGAGTGGCGCTTTTGGCGCGATGTTGACGGCGACCCTGATACCGCCGGCCACGACCGTCTTCGCTCTGCCCAGCAATCGATCCCGCCCGGCTGGGTTCGCCGCGAATATTCCAACCGTGGCTGGCTCCCGCTCGTGAGCGATAAAGCCGGCAACTACATCGGCGTGGACCTCAACCCCGACGAGCGCGGCGCCGCAGGACAAGTGATCGTCTTTGGCCGCGACTTTGACACCAAGGTCGTGCTCGCGAATGGCGATGGATCCAGTGGATGGGCGCGCTGGCTTGCCGCGTTTGCAGATATGCTCGAGGGAGCAGACGGCTACGAGCTTACATCCGGAGATACCGATTCGCAGGGCTCTGAGGATGATATTGGCTACCAGAGCTACTTTGATACGGGAGGCGAGTCGGCAGATCAGCGTGGGCCGAGGGGTTGGTCGCTCACGGGGGAGTACCGCGGTTGGCCGCCCCTTGAGGCGTTCGCTGACCGCGGCGTGCGACGGTGGATGGAGGCCGGCCTCGTGCCCGAGTTCTCGGCCCAGGAGAAGGGCAAGGTGCGCACATTCCGCTGCACCACTCACGTCGAGGCACATATTCAACGTTCTATCTATAGGCGCCAGAAGACGGTCCTAACGTGCTCGACCTTGCCAAGGTCGCTGCTGATACAGACGACGCCAATGGCACGCTCTCTGTATATGCAAAACCTGAGAATCCGGAGGATTTGCAACCTCCAGCTGAGGGGGCATCTTCGCGCGCGGTACCATCGATCAGCGTAACGAAGCCGCCCGCTCCCAGACCGGTACTCCTCCCCACGGAGAACGACATCCTCGCCTCGCCAAGTAATTTCGAAGCACCCTCCCCTGCAGACGTCGAGAGCGGGTTTGCTGTACCCATGGCTCAATACAAATACGACCCGCCTCCCAGTGCGGCTTCGCCTATCACCACAGCGAAGAACACGCCAGCAGCCGACTCGTCAATGTTCGTGCCCCCAGCGCCCGCCGCCGCTCCGCTTTCGGATATCACGGATCTTCTGACCGAGTCGGGCCCTGCACTCGAAACGGCCGCATTGGAGCCGGCGCCATCTGCTCCTACTTCGGGACAGGTGTCACCTGTTGCTACGCCCTCGCCCGTGGCAGATCTGCTCTCTGGTGATGATGAGGCCGCTGTTGCAACTCCGGAGAAGAATGAAGAGGAGGACGAGGAGGACGAGGACGATGAAGAAGAGGACGAGGACGAGGAGGATGAAGAGGAGCTTGTGAAGGAGGGCGGGGCAAGTCCGGCGTTAGCTGCAGACGATGCGAATGCTAAAACGGTACGCTCGTTCGATGCGGCTTGATCAGGCCGTGTGTCTAACCCATCTGTACGGTATTGCAGGCGTCGCCATGATCTGCGTCTCGACAGAGTTGACCGAGTTCCCATGCTTTAGACTGGTTGGTTGTTCGTTGGTTTGCGCTCTTCACCCACATCCGGACCTCTGCCCTCAATATCCAATTTCTTCATACTCCACGCTTTTCGCCTATTCTCAACTCCAACACTGCACTGCGCGATAATCATATACTCATCGGCTTTCCTGTCTTTGACCCACCTACGGCTTGAATCTGACTCGAATAGGACTTTGGCTTTGGCTCTATCAACTTTCATACGCTCCCCTCTGCATGCCTTCGCTGGTCACCCTCGCATCTACGTCGCATTCCTCCTCCCTCACTCCGTCCCGCTCTTTGGTACATCCCCACCCTTAGGTGAAGGTTATGCGTAAGTAACATGCCTACTATGCCGCGGTCAAGACGCGTGAATACAGAAATACCCATATCATACACTGCTCGGTATGAAAAGGCGCCGCCATTTTTTGCAAGACTCTGAGGACGACGTAAGCGGAGGACTCTATTAGCTACGTATACTGGTCTCGAGGTAATTAAGGTGGTACTAGATTCTGAATAGCTGCAGATTCGTCGCACCGTGCACGCAGATCCATCACGGATATTTCGTCCTCTACTATGCGTGAGAAACTCTAATCTCGATCACGTGGGTTTATTGTTGACAGTGACTGGCGCGAGACGTTTTTGGTTCAGACCACCACCAGGTCGTCGCACATCCACTGTTCGACACTGTACATGATCTAATATGCTGAAGGGCGGTGGGTGCCCATCTGCTGTCCCATTACTCAAGCCTTTAGAAAAGAGCTCACGAAAAGGCGGAAGATGGTAAGCAAACGACGACTCGTGTACTGGGTGAGTGGAAGAACGCTTGCCTTTTCTTCTTTGAACACTATCCGTGACCATTCCCAGCTGATACCATCTGCTAGTGAAGAATAATGGTGCTGACTTCTTCTCGAAGACGCGCTCGTCATGCCCCGAGCCCGAAACATCCTTCAATATCAGACACGCTATTGTAGCACTACATTTCATAATCCTATGCTCTTGTCGAACAGGAGATTGAAGATAACATTGGCACGCTTAGTCCTCGGAGATAACCACCCGTGATACCAGAATACCACGTATATTTTCCAATACCTGCTCCGATAAGCCACCTTTCGCAAGTGTAAGACGGGCCTCGCTTTCGACGTCCCGCAGTCTGGCGGCGACTTTCACACATCCCTCTACCTCATCACTTTCACTTTCAGAGAAGTCCACGCCGACGACGTGAACGTGTTCCAGGGAAGTGCGGCAGGGACCGTGCGAGAACGACTCCATAGCGGACGCACTCTTGAGGATCATAGTGCGAGCGGATGTGAATGCGTCCGTTTCGCATGGCTCGACCCAATCGCCGAGCTCGACGACGCTCGCTGCTGAGAAAATCGGCAGTATATATTTGGCGATCTCGGCTCCCAGATCGGGAAAATAGTCGGGGGTGTCGAATCCCGCTATCGAGGGCAGCTGGAGCTCCAGGTTTCCCGGTGTGGGAAGAACGTTGTCGTAAGGTGGGTCGATAGTGGCATTCGAGGACTCGCTATGGGCGACAAGCGGGCTGATGACATCCTCATCGAGGCGTACGGCGTCATAATGCACCTGGCGGGCGATAGCGCCAGCAAAGTGGTGATGCAAAGCCGAACTGGCCCTAGCCAGGAACTGCCTGTACCGCGGGGTAAGTTGAAGCCCCGAGGTCAGAATGAATTCGTTCGAGAAGCCGGGATCGTCGTCTTTGATGATGAGCGTCGCAGATGGCGGGAAGTCCAGGCAGCTGAACGCGGCAAAAGCGCAGACAGTCAAGCCCACCATCTTGAACTCGCGCAGATGTTTCATTCGCACGCTGCGGGGAGCCGGAAGCGCGCCTGGAGTCAACATGGAGTGGATGTTCTTAGAGATGAAGTTTGTGTGCGAGAAAGATTCGAGCAGTGGCATGGATTGGAAGAAGGCCACCATGCCCTCGACGTTATGCCAAGCCTCGACCCGAACGAAGTCGACGTGGCGCAGATTGGTGAATTTCAGGTGAAGATCGTGTGGTAGAATGGCGTTTCTACACGCGAAGAGGCGTAGGGATGGGGGGAGAAGGGCCCCGGATATCTCTGTGGGCATATGCTGTGGAGGACCGTGCGCATCGCCCGGGTAGGTCACCAACTTTAGTGCTAAATCCTCCAGCGCGTCCGGCAGCTGTGCTTGAAACGCATCCGCTAGCTCGCTCAGTTCAATGGGGTACGTTTCGTATCTGTAGAGACGGGACTCGTGCACTGTGAGCGATAGTCGTTTCACTCGACTACAGTGTGGGTAGATTGCGCGGAAGGCTAGACGCCTATCTTCCATTCTAAGGAAAAGCGTCTCTATAACGACATTGAGGGGTGCTGTGGTGCAGCGCGTAAGACACAGGTCGGTAAAGGTAGCACTGCGTCGAGGTAAGGTGCTCCATAGTTCCTGAGACGATGTAGCAAGCTCGCGCCATCGGCGACAGACGCCTGAGAGGACAGTGCCAACGACGACCGGATCGTCTTTGTCTGGAGGGTCCTTGGCGATGGTCGTGAAGATGTATAGCAGAAGCTCCGCGGGTATATCGTGCATGTTCATAGAAAGGGTGAGGATGTAGCCTGTAGGACTATGAATCGAGTCTTGCGTCCGTTCAATTGATGTGTAATCGATGGAGTTTAGAATGGGAGTAGGAGGCAAGTCGCGACTCGCGCTTCGGCCAGTCTACGCTCGGTGAGTCTATCCATTGTTCGTAGTAGCCTTCCAAAGAGCACGGTGCTGCTCTTTCGTGATATAATCGAGATGGCACAGAACCGCCCAGATCCCAGTACAAATACATAGTCTGTCTTGACGCTAATACGCAGGGCACTCTACGGCGTAACTGCGTTGCTCACCACGTCGCAACCTTCTCTGCAACTTTGAACTCAACGCCTGTCTTCGCGCGCACTTCCTCCAGACTGACACCTTCTGCGAGATCCGTGAGCGTTAGTCCGCCGTTCGCCCTGTCCACACTGAACACCGCCAGCTCCGTGACGATCGTGCTGACTGCCCTCGCGCCTGTGAGCGGCAATGTGCATGCTTTCATGATCTTCGGACTGCCATCCCTCGCACAGTGCTCGAGGACCGCAACAACCTTCGTCCGCTCGGGATTGCTGACCAGGTCCATAGCACCTCCGATACCCTTCACCAGCTTTCCGGGAACCATGAAGTTCGCAATGTCTCCATTGGCGCTCACTTGCATCGCGCCGAGCACGGCGACGTCGACATGCCCGCCGCGGATCATCGCGAAGGATTCAGACGAGTCGAAGACGGACGCGCCGGGGAGGAGAGTGACAGTCTCTTTGCCGGCGTTGATCACGTCCGCGTCCAGTTGATCGCGGGTTGGGTAGGGGCCCATGCCGAGTATACCGTTCTCGCTCTGAAGCCAAACGTTAACGCCAGTAGGGAGGTGCTCAGGAACGAGAGTTGGCATGCCTGCGTACGAGTGAGCATACACATGGCTCTCAATAGGTTTCATAGTGAACTCACCAATGCCCAGGTTGACGTAGTCGCCATCACGGAGTTCACGGGCGGCACGTCTCGCGATCTTGTGTCGTAGACCTTCGCCCTTGCTTGAGGGAGCATCTTGAGTGGATGGCTCGACCTCGGGTGCAAGTGTTTCTACTTCGATATTCTTCGGTGCAGTAGCGGGTACAATGCGATCGACGTATATGCCAGGGAGATGAATCTCATTTGGGTCCAGCGTGCCGCGCGGAACAATGTTCTCCGCCTACTCAAACTTGGGTTAGAATGAGTTTTGAAATCAGCAGAGGAAGACAGTCCACCTCGACAATTGTGAGTGCCGCGTTCTTCGCCATGACCGTACTGAAGTTGTTGGCTGTATATCGGAACACAACATTCCCGACCTCGTCCACCTTCCATGCCCTAATGAATGCAACATCGCCCGCGAGCGCTTGCTCCATTACGTATCTCTTGCCATTGAACTCCCTGCTCTCTTTCTTGATACCGGGTATGGCGATCTCGCCTGCGCTGCCGCCGAGTTTGACTGGGATGTCGCCGTATTCGACTGCGGTGGAGGCACCAGTGGGGGTATAAAATGCAGGTACACCTGCAGCGTGTGCTCTTAATCGTTCAGCGAGGGTACCTTGGGGTACGAGCTCGAGCGCGATGGCGCCAGAGAGATATTGTTGTTCGAAGAACTTGTTGCCACCGATGTAAGACGCAATCATCTTCTCGATCTGACCAGAGTGCAAAAGTCGGCCTATGGGAGGGCATCTTGTGTGAGTTGGGAGTATCATAGTGAAAAGGTGCAAGTACGCACCAAGACCGTTCATCCCACTGCCCGCATTGTTTGAGACGGCTGTGAGGCCCTTCACTTCTGGCCTTTTCGCCAATGCGCCGATGAGTGTGTCTATTGTACCATCAGTACATGAGAATATAAGTCTGACAACTTCGCAAGGCTCACCTGGCGTTCCGCATAAGCCAAACCCTGTGCGGAAATATATGAGTACCGAGGCTGAAGTGCGGGGCAATAGAGTTGGTAACGTACCACCGCTGAGCACGGTACTCCCCGACTTGACATCTGCGACAGCCTCATCCGCTGAGCCCCAGACCTTCTTCTTGCCAGGCATAGCTGTGCCCTCCGCAACTACACTATAGGCGCGCGCTGGCACGGACCGCGGTGCCCGCGCGACGACGCTCAACCTCAAGCTCCAAACGACCATTGCAGTTGAAGAGTGGTGATGCCTTAGTGCCCGCCTGGCACATTTATATATATGCGCGATGATGAGCGCGCAGGATGAGTAACCCTGCGAATTCCGCCACCGCGAAGGGTCGGTCGCGCGAAGCTTCGGGGCGCTTGTTCACGAGCGCGTGTGATGGGAAGCAGGTGACCGCGCACGCCGGATCCGGAAAAGGAAACCATGTTCGCAGAATATTTACGTCGACGATCGCCTTAGCTGTAAGCTATTTGAGGTGAAACAACGTATCCGGAGTCGCGAGAGTCGCGGGTTTCGTGGCGAAGCATAGGCTGAGGCGATTCTCATAGCGGAAGAGTGTAAGTTATGAGAACTAGGCCCCTTGCACTTGTCTGACGTAGGGGTAGCGGTCATCAACAACGGCAGCTACACGGGTCGAAGGCGATTGTTATTGTCAGCGAGCTGCGGCACGTAGACCGAGGTGGCTGTTGACATGACTGGAATATGAACGCTTGAGCACGACTTCCGGCGCCAGCGCGTTTTGCATCGGACCGGATGACCCGAGGCTGCTTCAAGGCTTTCTCGCCACCGAATGATCCGAAGCGCTTTCTCACTGTGTATGTTGATGAATGTACTGACTGAAGCCTTTCATTGCCCTAACTCGTTTCGCTCTGCCCGCATGAACCAGAAGGCGACGCAAAGAACATCTGCGGCACTCAGCCGTTCAACGGACTGCAGAGCAAGTCTGCGTTGGAATATCGCGATCGAATTGTATCCACGTACGCGTCGTACGCGCACAACTCGCGCTTCACTTCTGCAGCTATAGAGTCGGGGCCTCCACAGCTAACTCGTAGGAGTCTGCTGTAAGTAGCAAAGGCTCTATGTGACGTTCTGAGAATCCTAAAAGGGTGACACGACTATGAAATGAGAGCAATGAAGAAGCGAAGCGGGGAACGATTAATAGCAAAGCAAAGCAAGACAACGACACCGAGGCCCACGCCAGCCACATCAGCCTTGCGCCCTCACGACTCTGGCAATCTCCCCTCTGATCTCTTCCAAGTTTGCTCTTAGAGTCTTCGCGTCTTCGAACTTCCGTCCTGCCACAGCCTGCTCCACGAACGCTTCCAGCAATGCCTCTTGTTCAAGTAAAGGCTGAAGAGCAGCATGTGCTTCTTGTGATGTATCTGAGTCGAGTACCGGCAAGTCCGGCGACATTGTGGATGGACTGGAGGCAGCGGCTCGGGATTTGAGTGTGGGCAAACTCTATAAACGTGATAAAAGGAAATTAGCGCCAGACCTGTGTAGGTACGTGAACGGTCTCATACCTGCAGTGGTACCATGTGCTCTTGCAAAAACGCATTTGCCCTAACTACCACAGCAGCCTGCACCCTGGCCTGACTGCTCCCCTTCTCGGCAGGTAACGCTCGTATCCTCTTAGCAGCTGCATCGTACTGCGCGAACGCCGCTACCAGCTTCTTCCGTGCCGCGGCAGCGTTCTCTTGATGAGGTGAGGAGTGGTGAGGCGAAGCATGATCGTCGACTGGCGTAGATGGGGTTGACAGAGCGTATACGAGCTCGCGGAAATGCGGGAGTTGATCGAGTATATCCTGTTCAAGCGCCAGAAGGAGCGCATACAACCGTGCGAAAAGCGGCGTCTGGTCTGCTTCGTGCGCAAACTGCTTTCGTCTACGCAGAAGTGAGGTTAGCGCTGAATGTACCATGCAAACAATTGAGAAGGAGAACTAACAGTAGCACGGGTCGGCACTCTCTGCATATCCTGACGCCCTTCAAGAACTTGTCCTCTCCCTCCTCCTTCCCCGCGTTGCTCGCCGCACGTTTTCTCACGCCATAATCAACGCCCTCCTTAACCTCTTCTATCCTCCCGTCTCCTTCTGCCACGAACAGTGTACTGCACGCGACAGGCCTCTGCGGCCTCTTCGGCGGCAACGCGCATACCAGACGGCCGCACAGCCGACAATGATGTCGTCGATTGGTGAGCGCGTGGAACGCCTGTCCGCACGAGAAACAGTTGGGCGAAGCGTTATCGGGCTCCCAAGCAGCGATGGCCTGTTCCGCCGCCCGAATGTCTGCTTTCCCGCCCTGCGAGACCGCCAGCGCGCCAACGCCTCCGCCTTTCCAAGCATCTGCCGCTGCGCTGCCAAGGTCCCATAACGAAGACATCCGCCGCGGCGCGTGTGGCTTCTCCTTCTCTCCCGTCGTCAATCCGCCATTCTCCAAAGAGGAAGCTCCCGGACCGAAGTGTAGCGCGATGAGCTTCTCCAAACGCCTCTCCAATCTCGCCCGCTCCACGCGCCCGACATCTCTCCGCAAAGCCCTGGCCTCTACAAACTCGTCTGTTCTCGGTCTGTAGACACCACGCGGTTGAAACCCGGGTCTATATGGCGCTGGTGTGCGTGGTGTGGGCGTAGAGATCCGACTTGAGCCAGATATAGATTGCCGGATCTGACTGGGTGCCGGTGACGCGGTTGAGATACGTGGTGCGGGTGATGGTGTGGAGGCAGGCGCGGGTGACAGAGAAGGTGTAATAGAAGGCGAAGACGAGGTCGCCGGACGGGCAGAGGGTTGTGCGATTTCATTGGCGGGAGAGGTGGGTAGCGGCGTGTTGCCTCGTAAAGGCGAGATGGACTGTGATATTGAAGGCGCGGGTGACGAAGTACCGCCGAAGTATGAAGACAATCGTGTTCGCGGACTGTCTTTCGCGGGTGGAGCGGGCGCGAGATTGGCAGAGGACAGTGATATTGTCCGCGTATGTGCACCAGAAGGCCTGAGAGGGGACGGGTGCACCGGTTGTGTAGCATTCGAAACAGCACGTAAAGGTACCCGTCTGAATGTGGAGGTTCTCCTTCCGGCAACTGGAGAACTGGTAGAGGATGAAGGCGAAGGCGGGAGATCGGGTTGCGGCGCCCGAGCGGGTGATGCTGATGGCAAAGGCATGCTGGACGTCGCGGGAGGCGGCGACGAGAGCTTTATTGGCGGCGCAGGCGGGGTTGTCTGCAATGTCGGTCGGGGCGGGAGTGGCGGAGACACGTTGGCGCGCTCCCAGGGCACGACGTCGGCCCTGCCATTTCCATTTCCGTTGATGGATCCATTTAGAGACGAAATAGATCCGGCGTGCTTCCTCTGCGGGGAAGATACAGCACTCGCAGGATCCGAATCACTTGCGAGTAGACCATTAGAGTCGAGAGCGCGCGCTTTGCCGTTCGGACTCGACACCGGGAGCACGGGTTGACTGACATCCACGGCGGCGGGAGACGTGGGGTTGGACAGTCCGACATTAGATGGTGTACGGCTGTGCCGTTTAGACTATCAGAATTCAATATCCAAGTTACCGGCATTGTAGGAATACGACGCGTACCCTGTAAGCCTGGTATGGCACGCCGTTCGCGGGGGCCGCCATGGCCGCTCAAGTTGAAGTTCCAAGTCCGAACCCGACTTGCTTCTTACGTTCATCATGGCCTCCATCTCCGGCATCTCCCTTTCGCCCGACCTGTCTTCCGCGTTGGGTTCGCTAGACGAGTCAACGCGTTTCCTCAAGATATCTATCCGCGATGGTCAATCAGCCATCCGTCTACAATAGTTGTGCTATTTACTAATCGAGACGCACAGAACAGCTCGTGCCAGATGGTCTCCACGCCGCGCAGGGAAGCTTGTCTGACGACCTCAGTGCTCTCGATACTCTGCTGGAGGATGCTGTACCGGCATATGTACTCGCGCGTCTCGACGACGCCGCAGGATGGCTACTGATCGACTACGTCCCGGAGGGCTCGCGCATTCGCGACAAGGTACAGTCAATGTTAGCTTCTATATGACTTTCCCCATCTAACATGATGTTTGATCTACTCAGATGTTGTACGCGTCAACTCGTGGTGCCCTCACCCGCGCTCTACCATCCCCACCCGCCGATACGCTCTACGCTACAACGCGACAGGATATCAGCGCCACGGGTTATGCCGCGCATCTCACACATTTGAAGGCGCCCAAGCCTCTCTCTGCCCGCGAGAAAGAGATGGAGGAGGTCAAGGCCGCCGAGCGTGCCGCAGGACTGAACACGCGCCCAACCCCGAGTCCGGGTGCTTTTGGAGGTAGCGGTGTAGGACTTCAATGGGATGATGCACTACAGGAGGCTGTCAAGGCGCTTGGCGAAGCGGATGCGGAGGGTGTTGTTACGGCGTCGATAGAGGCTGGCAGCGAGAAACTGGTGTACGTGGAGGCCGCGGACATCAGCGCTGACGAGCTCAAAAGCAAGATCTCGACAACAGATCCATGTAAGGTCCTCCGTTTCGCGCATGATCTGTACTGATCACATATCTCATAGCCTTTGCATTCTTCAACTATACTGGTGGCTCACAGCCGCAAGTCGTCTTCATCTACGCCTGTCCTTCGAGTTCCCCGATCAAGCATCGAATGCTATACTCGGCTGGTGCCGCCTCTGTATTCAGCACGGCCAAGTCTCTCCTCCCGACTGGTCGTCTGGCGCCGCGGAAACTGGAGACGAGCGACCCGACCGAACTGGGAAGCAAGTTCTTCAAGGACGAGCTCGGATCGGCGTCGGAGAGCACGAGTCGGACCGGAACACCCGGCGCAGGGAGTGGAGGTTTCGCACGACCCAGAGGACCTGCGAGGCGGACTCGGTGAGGTATCACGACGATCTGAGGGATATTAAGGAGGTATGGCAAGGAAGTGTATTATATATTTGGAAGTCCCCCTGTACTGCATTCTCGTTGACGCGCAGCCGAACACGCTCACGCAATATGTGCGGTTTGACTTGTCACGAGGTGACCGTTATCATTGCGGCGAACATTTGGATCGCTGTCGCGCTTGTGGCACGATCTCGTGCGTTTCTCGTAGTCTTCTATTGTGTGAGCGGCAGGTCCTCGCCACGATTTCCGATGCCCTTGTGTGGTTTGCATATGATCGTAGGGATCCTATTTTCCAGTGTCGCGCGAAGCAGCTCGTCCGAGCAACTTTGTCGCGCGACGTGTTCGTGACACGCGACTCGCCGACCCCCTGTGGCGGCCTTCTCGATTACGTACTTTGCGCTCGCAGCAGTGTCGGCGGTGCACGACGTGCTCTGCCTCGAGGTCGTTCATCGATACGGATGATTGCACCTCTCCTCTAACCCTCATCATCGTCTGCTCGCTGGCACTCCCTGCTCTGCTCACTGCCCTTCGATCGACTCACTTGTGGTCTTGATCATCGAAAAAGCTCTTGGTTGGTTGGAATATATTGAAATATGCCTTTTCGAGACCGTCGTCGTGCTGCGGCGCCGATGGATGTCGATGCAGCTCTTGCCTCGCCCGAAAATGTTGGGAATCGTAGGCCAGCTTCAAATATGCTTGGCCTCTCTATCTCTGGTGCCTCTCCCTCTTCGTATCAGGTATGTTTGCATTCCTTGTCATCACTTTATGGTGCTTACCAGATCTTTTGTACTATAGCAGCACCTTGGCTCATGTAAGCATGCTGATTGATCTCTGATCTGATCTGCCTAACTTGGTGATAGCTTCCCGCAACCTCTCCCATCACGCGCTCGCTCGTCGATCGGTCGATGTGACAACTGAGGTATTGTCACAGATTAGTCTGTCACCAGAACCTCGTCATCGATCTCTTGCTCGATCGACATTCCACACTGCCTCCTCCCTTAGAGACAGAGATGAAGTCTCGCACATGCTGAGAGCCAGATCTTTGGCCTCGACAGTTTATGCCAGCCACTACTGGCCTTCCATGCTATCTCCATTAGACTGCGAACAAACTCTTGACGTCTCTGAGGAACAAATCAACCATGCACTCCATCGGATGGGCATAGTGGGAATCCCTGCCTTGAGGGAGAATCAGGCTCCTGCTATCGTGCATGCCCTCCGTGGCAAGAATATATTCCTGGCTCTTGCAACTGGTGCTGGAAAAAGCCTTTGCTTTCAGATACCAGCCATTATCCAGGCTCATCATGATCAGAAGGTGACCATTGTCATTCAGCCTACACTCGAAATCATCTCTAGCCAAGTCAAGGCTCTATCGGAATATAACATTGAGGTCGAAGTTATCTCGAGCCTTTCTACTTCAGCAGAAAAGGACTCCCTAGCTGAGCGGCTGTACCAAGAGGCCTATCGGCCTGCACTCATCTATACCACTGCTGAGTCCTTCTTTGGGTTCTACAACTCTACTTTCACTACTCTGCTAAGCAACAATGCTCTGGCACGTATTGTACTAGACGAAGGTCACACAGTGCTGTATTGGAAAGAGTTCCGACCCTTGATGGTGAGTATATCTATTGTCAGACTTTTTTACCAGCTTTTGCTTACAGTTTTCTTGTGTATAGGGCCATCTCAGGACTTTGACCAAAAGCTTCAAAGGCATTCCAATCACCATTGCCACAGCTAGCCTCACACTGGGAGAGCGAAAGAAACTCTTGAACTATTTCGACATCCCACTTTTCCCTTGCCATATTATCTCTGGCTCATTAGACCGCCCTAACCTCATATACTCGGTCCAGCCAGTGCACACTTTTCATCGTCGGCCCAAACTGGAGGCTATCTATACTTTTCTAAAGGAGAAATTTGGACTTGAACCAGAGTCATGGCGCACTCAGACCTGGCAGAGTGGTCTGATCTACTGTGCCACTGCTGATCATTGCCGAAAGGTCGAGGCTGCTCTTAACAAGACTTTTGGACTTGGTTATTCCAAGGTCTTATATGGTGAAAAGCATGGTATGACGAGGGAGGATCAGAAAGATACTGTTCAGGACTGGATGAAAGGCCGTATTCCAGTCCTTGTTGCAACAGTTGGTTTCCTTACTGCTGTCTTTCTTTACCCTTTTTCTCACGAGCTCGTAGATTGCCTTTGGCATGGGCATCGACAAGCCTAAGGTTGCCTTTGTAATCCATTATGACATGCCAAGGACAATTGAGAAGTATGTTCACTCTTTCCTTATACACCTACCAGATTTTGACATCAGGCAGCTACATTCAGGAGACTGGCCGAGCAGGTCGGGATGGCTCGCAAGCACATTGCCTCCTTTGTAAGTGTATGGTCATGACTCGCAGATACCTGGCTCATACTGGCTCATCACAGTATTCTCATGGCAAGATGTCCAACGAACACTTTTCTATGCCGAGCAACGAGCCATCGAGCGAGGTGATCCCACTGTATTCGACACAGAAGCTACGAAAGCCTTTGCAATGGCCCAGTATGCTTCGACCCTCACCACTTGCCGACACATGCAGCTACTCGCCTACTTCGGCACATCGTCTTCGACCCTGGACCCTTGTCGCGATATGTGCGACAACTGCATCAAGGCCCCCTACATTCGCAAGCTTCATGTCAGTGCAACAGCCAGCAACATCGTCGCCTTGTTCTCCTCGAAACCAGTACTCGATACGAGAGGAGTAAATGGTATAGGGAAAATCATCAACACACTTCGTGGAAGCTCTAGCGAGGCTGTGCTGCCACAAAAAGACAATCTTGGGGATCTATTCGGCATCGCGAGCAAGGTCAATTACGAGACAGTCAAGGCTGTATTTGGCATGCTACTCGCACATGGCGTGTTGCGAGGTATACCCGATGCAAAGGCCGGCGAGGCGAAGTGGGCGACGAATCTCAAGTACTCGGTGAGTCATGGGTCGCCTCTAGTTCACTGTGGCTCACGTACGTAGCTGGGCATACGAGAGCTCGAGACGGAGCTATACGAAGATACCGACGAACATGAGCAGCAGCAAATGATCCTACGTACGTTCGTGGCTGCTCCGACCAATTCCTCGACTGGCGAGCACGATCCTGCAGAGCAGCTGCAGCACACAAGTGTGCACAGAAGGCGAAGGCGAAGGCGAATAGTCGAGACGAGCAGCGAGAGCGATGTAGATCCCGAAGACGAAGACGAAGGCGATGGTGCTTTCACCGATGAACGACCAGCTATCACTAAGAAGGCGCGCGGCAAACTACCACAGCGCGAAGTCGAATCGCCAGGCTCTGGCCGTTCGTCACTTTCCGCTCTCACACCGGTCACGCCGGACAGTTCGCAGTCGAGTGCCGCTTCGTCGCTTAAGCGTCAACGCGGCCCGAAGATCTCGCCGCGCAAGCGCCGGCGTATAGAATCGGACGATGAAGGTGCGACGCATCGTGAACGAGTACTCGTTTGATTACCGAGATATGCTCACGGGCGCAATCCTGTACTCAGTAATCGAGATCTTCGACAGCAGCGACGAAGACCTAGTCAGGCCTATGCCTCGCAGGTCGGCACAGTCGAAAGCACCGCCGCGGCCACGCCAGCCGGAAAAATCGCAAAAGACCGTCGCGAACGAACGCCCGAATGCTCGCGGTCGCCGGTCGCGAGAGCAAGACGACCCTCTCGTTCCCGAGGTCGACCCGCCCTCCAAATATGCGGCGGCATTCGAGTTCCTGTGGGGCGCACGTCGTACGGTTAGTCAATAGCGTATACGAGAGTCATTGCAAAGTCTGACCTGCCTAGGCCTTCGAGAGATACGCCGGCCGCACTGGCGCGACGAACGAGCGCGACGTCCTGAGTGACCGTGCGCTCCTCGCGCTCGCCGTCCATCTGCCCTTCGGTCAGTTCCGCACTGTGACATGACGAAGTCAATTAGGCACTCACAAATCTCCGTAGACTGCCCTGCATTTGCGGCAGCATTGGCGGGCTGCGAGACAGACCCGAGCTCAAAGTGGCCCCTGTACGGGGTCTACTTCCGCAGTGTCCTCAAGAGCAAGGCCTTCGAAAAAACGCTGACGGCCCAGGAAAGCCCGTCGGCGGCCCAGGTTTCAGAGTGAAAGACCAACGCGTCGCATCGGCAGATATCATACCAGTGGCACATGAGGGTAAATCTTGTTGTATTATACTACGCGAGCAAAATGGTATCGCATGAAAACTATACGCTTCGTTGAGTACCCGTTACGCACGAGAGAGAGATTATCCATACGCACCACTACGCTTTTCCCAGCCCGGGACCCGCTCAACATCCCCGTTAGTGCCCAGGACGTCTGGGACGCCTGACATGATCGCACAAAACACAAAGGTTGCGACCCGCGTCGCGCTCAACCGCGCGCTCACGTGAACGTTGATGCGATCACAGGCTGCCCGAAGTGCCCGACCGCGCCGCTGAACGACTGCGTCCTGAGCCACCACCTATCACCCATATCATGCGCCGAACCCTTTGTGAACGATGGCACGTATAGTGTCTACTTCTTCCATGCCAGTGCTGTGTGATCCCATGTCTCAGCCTGGGGGTCATGGAGAACGCAGGCCAAAAGTAAGATGAGGACCAGCTTGGGGTATAGTGACCTGAGCACTGGTCTTTTCTCTCCTACCTTCGTCATCTTCCTACATTCAGACTTCGCCTCTGTTATCCGATTTGTCATGCTTCTGAGCTGGACTCACGATGTGACGACTTCGCTGAGCGATCTACCAGGCGAGTTCGCCGGCCAACTTGTCCCGCGCGGGATCTTCTTGAAGAAGCACCTATGCTCTGGCGGCCAAGGAGCGATTTACGAGGCAACCTTTCCATCCAACGACACCTCGCGTACAGACTCCTGCGTCGTCAAGGTCGTCCGCAGAGCCAATATGACCTCCGACCAACGCCGGAGTGTACTGCATGAGTTTCTCATCCATAGATCGGTCTCTTCACACACAAATATCGTCACCTGTCGCGGTTACTTCTACCATACCGACACAGTCTTTGGCGTTCTCGACATGATTGATGGCGGCGACCTTCATTATGCGATCTCTGAGAAGGCTATCTTCTGGAAAGATAGCGACCTTCTACGCGACGTTTTCACTCAAATACTCGACGCCGTTGCGTTTTGTCATGCGAGGGGAATCGCGCATCTTGATCTCAAACCTGAGAACGTGCTCTGCAGCGCTGACTGTCGCTGCGTGTATATCACGGACTTTGGAGCGGCTACGACCGCCGCCTACTCGATGCGCGTTGATGTCGGAACTGCCATGTACATGGCTCCAGGTAGGATCAGAGCACTACGGGGCGTCACCGTATGCTCACTTATCTTCCTCCCACAGAGATCTTCGATTCCATTTCCACGCCGCGGCTCTACGATCCGCGCAAAGCCGACCTCTGGTCACTCGGTTGCATCTTCGTCAACATGATAGGCGGGCAATTGCCCTGGGACGAAGCCCGTCTCTGCGACGGCAACTTCGCAGCGTTCCTCGCCGATGCTGACTTCCTAAGGGCCATTCTGCCCATCTCAGCCGAGGCGAACTACCTGGCGCGCCGGGTACTCGAACTTTCACCGGATGGGCGACTCCCCATTCACACTCTTGCCCGCGAGATAGACATGATTCGGGACTTCTTTATGAATGATCAAGATCTGAAGCTCTCGTCGGGCGCTGTGCGCGGTGTTGCATTATTGGCAGCTTGCACGAAGCGCGATTGGAAGTCTAGGGAGGCACTTCACGCTGCAGCTCCTCTAGAATGCACTTCAACTGCTCTCGCGAGCATGGCGCGCGCGGACGATCTGGACGCATCCGGACCCGATTCAGCACAGCAATACACAACATCCGCTGAATCTGATGGTGAAGAATCAAGTGGCGGCAGTCTGTTCTACGCTAGCGAGTCTTGCATGAACCTGGCTGATCTATGCGGTGGGCGTGACAACGGAGGGGAAGAGCCTGAAGACGAGCAAAATGTTGGAAACCGTATGGAGGGTTTCGAGGACGTCTCGCTGTGTTCTCCCATCATATGAGTCGTGTCTGAATCTTGTCCTTCGTAACAGCTGCAGGTGCAGCCCTGCCGCATTGTATCTGCTACGTATGCTTTGCCCACTATCTCGATACATGCATCCCTATACTACCACATGTGCCCACCGACAGCGTCCAATGAGATGTCGTTCTGATACGCTTGCGACGCGAACTGTATTGACTCGTTATTCTCCCGTTGATATTGACCAGTGCAGCTACCAAGTCCATGGCGGGACATGGTGAAAAGCGGCGCCGGCTGGTGTACGTCGGACGTAAGCCAACCGATGGCGTCTTCGCGCACTCCGGGGGCCATCGATCATCGTGACCGAAAGTGAGCGGTGCAACAGTAAGTTTGCAAGCCTTGCGTTGTATTACAGGTCCCCGAAGTCGGCCTCAAGCGCGACTTGCGTAGCACCACTCCGTTTCGCCCTCTTCGCCGCGCGCTCCTCACGCTCCAGTTCTTTCCAATCCGCGGCCTCCTCCTCTCCGTCACTCCCTTCAGCGCCTTCACGCAGCTTTGTCCCGTCGTCAATATCGCTTCCATCACCGTTATCCCCGCTCTCGGCGTCCGCCGTACCCTCCCCACCCGCCTTCTTCTGTACATCGAGCCACTTCCTTTTCGCAATCTTCTTCTCTTTCCTCTTCAACTTCCCTTCCTTCCTCTTCGTCTGGTCACTCCATGGCGCTTCCATGACCTTTCGCTTTTTGCTCTCCCGCTTCTCCTGCCCTTCTTCTTTTCTCTTTGTAGCTTCAGCTCGCCTCTTCGCCTCCTGCTTCTCGTCCTTGTACGCATACTCCTCCCAATCAACATCTGCGTCTTTCCAGCTCGAGGTATCGCGCCCTTTGAGCTCAGGCATACGCGGTAGACGTAATAGACCATACGCGCGGGCGAGTCCAACAAGGTCCAGAGCTGTCGCGCGGAAGAGGAAGCCGGCGTCGTGTGTACCGTACGCTCGCACGAATGAAACGAAGGCACGGGCTCCGCGGTCGGAGAGGTCACGATCCGTGAGTAGATGGGTTCGGATGATCGACTCGAATTTCGCAACAGTATTTGCGTCTGGATCCTCCGCTACTTCTTGAGTTCCATTCTCCACTCCATCCGCTTTGGCTTTCTCGTCGCCGTCGACGAGCATCGCACTGTCTCCTTCCTTCTTCTCCTCGACGGCCGCAAATGTCCCATCCTCCCTGATCCTCCCTCTCCTTCTGACGGGGATCTTCCGCACACCCAAGAACTCGACATATGCGTCTTCGCTGGGCGCGAGCAGCACCCACGCGCGCCCACTCCGGCCCGCCCTAGCCGTTCTCCCACACCGATGACTGAACGCTCGTGCATCCGCCGGCGCATCAAGCTGTAGCACAGCGTCTACGTCCGGTAGATCAAGTCCGCGCGCGGCTACGTCCGTAGCAAGTAGTATCGCAGGCGACTGAGGTGTCGCGGGATGCGAGGAGAAGGTTGTTAAGGTTCTCGTGCGAGCGGAGGGCTGAAGATGCCCGTGTAGCGTAAAGAGGTGGTGGGACTTGGGTAATAGTCGAGGGAGGATGCGGTAGAGGTAGTCAACTTGAGCTGCTGTTGATAGATAGACGATCATGCGGGATGAAGCGTGGGTCGCCGTTTCGTGTGCGATTATTCGCGTGAGTTGGACGAGCTTGGCAGCCGGTGGGCAGGTTATGGCGTAAATCTTGAGGCTGAGGGATCGCATCAAACGTCAGTTCCTATGTAATTAGAGAATGTATCGAGACGAACTTCGCCGGTATGCGTCGTTCCTCAATAGGCGCTGCCGCACCGCCCGAGGCCGCCGCGCGCTTAGCGGTGACTTTCACGACTACGCGTGCAGGGTTGCGCAGCCCTGCGCGGACGAGTTCGGAGAGCGCGTCGGCGTCTGTCATTGTGGCGCTGAAGAGTCCCGTACGACGCTGTTTCGGAAGCGCGTTGAGAATGCGTGTGATGCTTTGATGGAAGCCTAAGTCAAGCAGCCTGCAGTTGATTGTAAGTACTAGACTGTTGTAGAGATCGTGTCAGCGCCTACCGGTCTGCTTCGTCCAACACAAGTATCTCAAGCTCCTTGGCGCTCACGGCCGCGCGGCCGCGACCCAGTAGAAACTCTTCAACACGCCCGGGTGTGCCGACGACGATGTCGGCACGTGTCTCAAGGAAACGTTGGACGTCTTGAGCGGGCGATGAAGTAGAGGAAGACACGAGTAATAGTGGCGGTGGATATTGCGGGGCGGAGGGCGAGCCATCTTCTCCATCGTCTCGTGCGGGTTGGGAATCGAGGAAGAGCTTGATTACGGCGTGGATTTGGGAAGCCAGTTCTCTGCCGAGATAACATCAGTTTATCAGAACATCACAACTTTATGAAAGCATACCTTGTAGGAGAGATGATGAGTGCGCCAAGCTCGTTTTTGCGCAGCGGTCGTTCCCTTCGTACGAGACGCTCGAGAATGGGAAGGACGAAAGCAAGAGTTTTGCCTGATCCGGTGACGGCTTCGACTACGACGTCTTTATTCTTCATGAAGAGTGGGATCGCAGAAGCTTGTACGGGTGTCATGCCCGTGTGGCCCATGCCGGACTGGACTACATCTAGGCTATATTTTTTCAAGCGGATGAATGACCGGAGGTGAAATTGATGCCCACATCCATGGTGTCAACGGCGTCGGGAGTTTCGACCAGGGGCCTGCAGACGCATGGGTGGCCGCAGACATGTCGGGCTTCAGACTTTTGGTATTCCCAGAGAGGAATAGGTCGTAAAGTGGAGATGGGAGTGTAAGGCAAAAGTTTGAGCAGGTGTGGCTCTGAGGGGTGTGGGAGTTTGATGGGGAAGTTGTTGAAGCACGCGAAGGCTGTTGCCCTAGCTGTTGCCCTTGTCCTCGCCCTCGACTTCGACACCGGCGGCTCGGCCATGACAGTCTCCTCGACCTCCCACTCCCGCCGGCCGTCGTCCCCCACGCTGTCCACGACGTCATCATCCCTCACAATCGATATTATCGTCGATGCACTCCTCAAGTCCGACGACGCCGGCCAGACTCTGGACTTTGGACATCTCGGCCTGACAGACGTCGGCGAATATGGTGCAGAGGAGCTTGCCGCACAGGGGAGGGAGAGCTTGGAAGAGGCATCCACAATAGCCAGGCAAGCGACATAACTGTAGTTATGACGTACATTCATTGACCAAGTACAGGATCAACCTGGGGTCGAATAAGCTGGCAACACTGCCCATGGCGTTCGCTCTCCTGAGCAACCTGCGCTATCTGAATCTGCGGAGCAACTCGTTCAGCGTGTTTCCGGACGTAGTAAGCATCTATAACTCCCCGAATATCTCTCCTTGGTGCTGACTGCGAATAGTTGACATTAATGCCTGCGCTGGAGGTACTCGAGATTGGCCGTAACAAGATTAAACGCCTACCTTCACAGCCTGGCTCTCTCGTCAATCTCCGCGTACTGTCTATCTACAAGAACAAGATCACGCGCCTACCCAGCTACCTAACGCAGTTCCACAGCCTGGAAGTGCTTCGTTGCGAACAGAACCCCCTCGAGTGGCCTCCTAAGCAAGTCGTCGACGCCGAAGGCAATACTCCTGACTTTGTTGCCTTTTTGAAGCGATGGATGCAAGACCCGCTCAACAATGAGCGCAAGCGCTCACTCGACGACGTCACCGAAAGCCCCGTCGACGACGACGGCCGTACCCCACACGCCCGCTCTTTCTCGGTCTCCTCGGATTACACGCCCGGCTCGATGCCACCCATCCCGGTCGCTTCCTCTTCGTCCTCTTCGTCAAAGCATCGACCCCTACACCTCAAGCTGCCGGCATCTACCACTTCGAGTGCCTCGCCCTCACCAAACCGCTCACCTGACTCTTACCTGCCGACACCTGACGAATCCGTCTCCTCCACTGACGACGAACTCTACAAAGAGATAGAGGCTAATCTCGCGACCGATGTCCACACACGAACCGCCTCCTACTCCGGCCCTCAGAGCCTTCCAGCACACTCACGACCTCAAACGAAGAAATCCCTTCCCGACATGCGCCCTCCCTTACGCCTGCGTAGTCACGACGACCTTGCGAAATTTCCACCACTGGCCGAGTCGCCCGTGGCAGCCGACTTTGGCGCGTTTTCTCGTCGCGCCAACCGCTCGCTCGAGCATGTGTCCGGCGCGGGCGGTTTGCCGTCGCCAGTGAGCAACCGCCAGGACTCGGCCGAGTCCGATTACGTCGGCATCGCCCGACCGCCCGCTTCTCGCCGCCACCACCCACGCGAGCCTTCTGCCTCCGCATCTGCCTCTGCCTCAACCTCCGCCATTTCCGCCTTGTCGTCAGCCATCTCGCCGACCTCATATCCACCAGTGCAACCTGTTGATGAGCAGCGCAATCGATATTTCCGCCGATTTAGCGCCCGCGCACCCGCGGCACGACAACGCGCTCTACCCGAACCTCTGCTACAGCTCGTGGATGCCATTCGCGGCCTACTATTCGCGTGTAGTCAGGTACATCAACAGTTGCAACACTACGCCGAACATGCCTTGGACGACAGACTCGCGTCCATCCTCATCAAGGTTCTCGACCCGGCAGGCGCTTATATCCGCAACCTTATATCCGCATTGGACCGGTTTGATGGACGACCTTCCACGGGCGCTACGGCTCGCAACGTTGTCGATGCCGCTCGAGAGTGCGCTGCTGCTTGCGGCAAGGCTGTGGGCGTTCTCAGTCTTCAACTGAAGGTGTTGGCAGCGAGCGGCGACGATCGCTATACGCGGCAGATGTTGCTAGGCCTGTACGGCGCGGCCGCAGAGATTGGTTTAGCCTGGGGTGTGATTGCACCTGCTTTACCAGCCGTTGAACCGCTCCTGCGCGGAGGCGCGACGGTGTCGTCTGGATCAACGCCCGTCTCTTCCTCGTCTTCGACAACGCATGCACACTCTCGCTCACACTCGAATGGCATCTCTGATCTCGCGCCGCCGAGAGCGCCGTTCGCAGGTGGGGAGCGACATCATGTGGCGAGGCGACATGCCGGATCGTTCAGTTATAAGGATGTCGAGATCGGGCGAGCACTACCGAGCGTGCAAGGGGTACCAGGACTCGCGGGAGGCCTGGCTACCGCTGCCGATACACCGACTCCACGCGCTGCGTTGCGTTCAGCGGGATATTTCTCTCCCCGCTCACATACGCGTGCGGACTCGGGGGGAAGCAACGCTGGATATGCGATCGGCCCAGGACCTGGAACGCCCGATACACCTCGGGATCTGGGCGCACAGGTCGACAGGGACGCCATCAGTGCCATGGCGCGCGCCGCTGCTGCTGCACCGCCTATTTGGGTCGCAGTACAAGCCATGCTCGACGAGGATACTTCGTCGACGGATGAAGCGGGCGAAGCCGACCGCGACGAGTTGCGTGAGCTGCTTAAACGCGCTGAAAGTGCAACGGAGAGATTGTCGGAGGGCCTTGCTGCACTAGAGGGTGGCTACGGTGGTGGGAGCGGGCGAGGCGGTATTAGAGAGACGGCGCATCTGTTCGGCAAGAGCGTCGTTCAGCTATCCGGCGCTCTTCGGGGGAGGCACGTCAACTCAGCTCTGCGTGCTGACATGGTCACCCTCACGAATGCAACGGAAGAGCTCGTCATTCTACTACATGTGTCATCGTTTGCACCGCGAGCGTACACGCCCAGCACGCCGAGTACGCCACATCACCCATTCGGTAGAGGTGACGGAGGGAGTGCAAGTGGAGAGGATACGCCGAGGCTGGGCGCAAGCCTCAGCAGGAGTCGGAGTGCAGCTATGAGTCAGCAAAACAGGGTTGTGCTGCATGAGCGGGAGAGGGAGGGACCCAGGAGCGCGTTGCCGATGCAGGGATTCCGGGTCAATGGAGTGCCTCCGCCCAGAGGCATCGCTGCTGTTTCATAACATACACTGGCTGCGCCTCCCCTGCATCACATGTTTTCGATTTTCTTCTTCTATTGCTGTTGACTAGCATTGTTATCGCATATCGCCCTGGATATAGGGCATGTAAAACCATCATCATCATCTCCACGATATATACAAAGATATACTAACCCACGCTCCCTCTACCCTACTCACTGCATATCCTGCACCCTCTCCTGTCCCGCATAGACCCTCATTCATACATCACATACCCCGCATATCATCGTGCTTAGCATTTACCTCCATTCACTCGCCGGCTCGTCCGCACGGCCCACGCCCTCACGCACACCATACGACAACATATATTCCTCCTGTCTCCGTACTCTCAACCCCCGGATCTCACCTTCTCGTCCCTCGTTCGTCTCTGGTTCTCGCTCGGTCCCGTGCCTCCCTCCCTTCCAGCATCTTCATCCGGCTCTATTCTCTCGGCATACTGTTTGCGATCTGTGACTCTGGCTGTGAACTTACTGGTTTCCTATCATACCGTATTTATCAGAGAATCTGCTCATATCTTCGTTTTTTGTGCAGTCGCATACGGTATAATATACATTCTGTTCAGCTATACCCCTGCTCAGCTCTCTTAACCGACAAATGTCTTCTACGGAGAGCTTGTACCGTACAACATCAGTGCTTCCGACTTCCCCAGTCCTCTTCGGCACCAACCACGAAGACGACGCCTTCGTACCCTACTCTCCGGCGTCTGTCCCCCTCAGCGCCGTGTTCAGACCCACTCATTCTCTCTCATGAGTTGCAGAACGTCTTTCGAGGTCTTGTTACTCAAGCAGCAAGTATAATGATCGGGATATAGGCTGTAACGGCAATGACCGGCACATCGTCCCACGCTCAGACTGCCTTCAGTCGCGGCGCCTTCGTCACAACACCTGAGTGTCAACCCCTGATTTCCTCTGATGCAAGCTTGATGGCGCGGCTTTACGCTTGCATCGCAGCAGTGTTCCCGCCTACCTGC